CGGCCCTCCCTCGCGTCTGTGCCATCCGGGGGCTGAAGCCCCAGCGTCTTCCTCCCAGGATGCAGGGCAGAGGAGGGCAACAGGAGCTGCCACGTGAGCCTCTCCACGTGCCACACCCCCATTACAGGCACTCGGTGCCCCCATCGCCCGGGACAGAGACCCCCGGGCGCAGGGAGGGCCCGCGTGTGCTGCCCACAGCAGCCGGCCAGAGATATGCCCTCAGGGGAAGTCCCCTGGGGCGGGACTTCTGGCCTTTATCCCCAGACACTAGTGGGGAATCAATGACTAAACTGGCCAAAAATGAAAATCCCTGTAACTCTGATCTTTTCCTTTAAGCTGTTGGGTACACAGAGTGTGGCCAAGATTATTGATAGAAAAGTTTATGGATGGGCTGCATCTTAAAATGAAAACACATTACCCAAAATCAATGTTGTTGGATGTGGTTCAGGGAGGACAGGAAAGGTCAGCTGAGACAAGAATATCAAAACCAAAACTCCAAGAGGACATGAACATTAAAGCAAATTTTGAAAGTGAGTTCCAGGAAAAACATTTACGTAGGGCTATAATTTAAGGGTGCTTTCATGAGAGGCTGGGCGGTCTTTCTAAATAGCATTTTTGAAACATCTTTGAGAGTCCGGTGGATTCATGCACAAAATGGTATTGACAAGTGCTGCATACCCCAACTTGCAGCCCAATCAGAACAGCACATGCTGGTGGTAGGCATGAGTTAGGTTAGAGAGTTGAGGATGGTCACAAGCAAGCCCCCAGGCAGAGCCGGACCAGCGGGTCAGGCGGGTTGAGCGCCTATTGATCACATTACCCCTGTACAGTGATCCTGCAGGCATTTCAGAGCCTGTGGACACAGAGAGGAAGGAAAAAACCTGGAAGCCAAAAGGGCAGCTGTCACTGCCTACCAATGAGCACTCGGGACTGGCCATGCAGTAGTTCTGAAACACTCTGACAGGTCCATCCGTAGGAAACTAGTCTCATCTCACATGGCCAACGTGCTCCCTAAACAGGGCATCTTTTTTTTTTTTTTCAAACAGGGCACCTCTGAGGAAGCACAGGGGACACCGGCAGCTGGCAGGGCTGAGGAGCTCTGGTCCCCAGAGAGTAGTTTTCCTTTCGGGAAGAAACATACATGCTTTGTCACAGATGCCTTCTTTAGAGCTTCCGACAGAGACCCTGGCCCACCATGACTCAGTGAAGAGGGACTGGCTTCCCTGCAGGAGGGCGCCCGGCCAGGCATCGGCCAGGACGGTGGGGGCTGCTTGCTGCCTGGCAAAGGCTAGATCAAGGAGACTGAAGGCCACGACCTGCCCGCCAGGGAAGCCCCAGGAAAGGAGCAACTGCGCTCTCTGGACACTCCTGACAGGGCTCCTGGTTCCTACAGCCACAGAGCTCTAGGCACGGGTCAGACCCAGCCTGGAGGTAAAGACACAGAGAAGAAAGATACAGCTGCAGCCTCAGTCTAGGAGACAGGAGGGAAGAGCGAACAGACCCACTCAGCACAGAGCCGCCGTGCACCGCAAGCAGCCTCGTCAGGCGCCGTCAGTCAAGGGCCGAGGAGCCTTGCTGTCTGCATCAGCTCCAGGTACCGGACCTCAGTCTCATCTGGGGTGGGGCTGTTTGAGTTAAAGTTGGGACCTCAGAGGAAGACAGACCTGGTTTAAGCCTTACTTGTCTGTGTGACTGTGGGCTAGTTCCTCAAACTCTCTGAGTACCACACCTCTAAGATGGGTAAAATCAGTCTACCACACAGGAGTAGGTACCCACCATTATAGGGGTTAAATGAGCCCATCCATTCACTCCACAAATATTTATTGAGCACCAACTGTATGTTGGACCCTGTTCTAGGTGCTGGAGATACATCAATGAGTGTAGACTCTACAGATCTCTGTGCCATTATAAATAAGGATATTGGATCATCTGTTGGAAGGAAGTTGGTGCTAAAGAAAGGAGAAAAAGAAGTGCAAAGTAAGGGACTGGGAGTGCTGGAGGTAGGGACGGAGGAGTGCAGATTGCATATTAAAACTGTGACCCCAGTGGGCCTCACGGAGATGTGACTGCTTAACAAAAATCAGAAGAACCAGGTAACTGAGGAAGGAGTATTCCAGCCAGACAGAACATCTGGTGCAAAGGCCCTGGGCGGGAGCATGCCCTGTGGGTGGCATTGTAGGAAGGAGGCCAGTGTGGCAGAGGATTCTGACCAAGACAAAGACAGAAAGCAAGAGACGAGGACCGAGGAGGGGGAGGTGGAAGGCAGATGGTTTGACCCTGCCAGTCATTGCAAGGTCACTGATGTTTGTCCTGAACGAAAAGGGAGCCACTGCAAGGCTTTGAGCAGAGGAAGAGTAATCTGATTTCTGTTTGAGAAGGACTGCTCAGTTCTCACGCTGATAATGCACGGAGGGTGCCTGGTATACGAAGAGTATGTAAAATGTACAACTATCATTCTCATTCATCATAACACCGATTTATGCTGTGGGAAAGAAAGACCTTACCCCCACAAGGTGGTACAGGTTTAGAAGATTCGCCAACCTTAAAGGTGAGCGAGGTGTCACTTCCCCTGGTTGCAGGAATCCTCCCCCTCTGCCTCCCTGGTCACTGGCCCTCCACCTCGGTATGCTATCAGGACAGGAGACTGCTGCATCTCCGGGCAGGCAACTGCACAGTAGGCTAACTCCTGCCATCATAACCCTGCTTGGAATCAGTCCCCAAATGAATCTGGTTTCCTAGAATCCCACCAGCGTCCTGAGCCTGTGCAGTACAGTGCAAGTCTGCCCCCTCCCTTCAGAAGCTGACGACAGCAATGGGCCTGGCAGGGTTTTATATTCAGTGATCCAAGGGTGGTTTCCAAAGGAAGGTGGAATTTTTAAGGGAAAGCTCCCAGGGGGTGGGAGCATGAAAGGCCAGAAAGCAGCCGGCAACTGCCTCTCTGGGGCCCCTGGAGAGAAACGGTAGGAAGAAGAGGAAGGCCCTGAGACATCCCTCCCTTCCTGGCCAGAGACCTTGGCCAACAAGGGCCCAACAGATGAGCAACAGTGGCCTGAGGACACAGGAATAACTCCTTGGCCACAGATGAGATGCTGAAACTCAGGCCTAGGAGGGGGTAAATGGACCTGCCCAGGGCACCCAGCTGGCAAAGACCTAGCTTAGAAAGGACCTGCAGCTTCCTGGACCAAAGTCAGCTGCTGGGAAGTGTCAGCTCCTTGGTTCTTGGGGAACCCTCTGGTGGAGCCTCCAGAGAGGCTGGGGAATAGGGACAGCAGTCACGTTAATCCATAGGGCTCCTCTCCTCTCCACCCAGGTCAAAGCTAAGAGATTAGAGATGGGGTGGAGACAGAGACGCTGAAGTCCGCTGACTGGTTTCCCTTGGTGAAGTCAAGAGCCGCCAAGCGCAGGCGTGGGACTCGCCCCTACAACTAACTATGTGTCCCTCCAAACCGCAAGCGCGCCCCACGTTTCCCCTCGGGGACCAGACTGCTCTCTCGAAGAGGGCTGGGGACGGAGGAGGCTCTGGGCGAAAGCTTTGAGAAGTCCAGGGTTTCGGGGGATGCGAGGCCAGGGCTGGGCTCCAAAACCCGGCTGCGGGCCCCCCCTTTGCCTTCCTCTCGGGGATCCCCCCGGGCACCGGGTAAAGCGAGGGCTGCGACCCATGAAGAACAAGGGGGGACGCAAGGGCCACGATCGAGGCGCAGGAACCCCACCCCGCTCGGAACCCCCCTGGGCCTGGAGTCGTGCCGGGCGCTCCGCAGCCACCCCGCCCCACCCCGCCTCTGCCGTCACTCACTGCCGCCGCTCCGGCTCGCTCTCGCGCTCTCGGCGCCTCGGGCACCTGCTCGCCCGGCGCGGAGCGCTCACTTCTCTCTCGCACGCTGCAGACTCCGGCGTGGCCGCCCGCACGCTCCGGCCCCGGCCCCGCTCGGCGCTCCGCCCTGCTCCCGGGCCCGCGGCGCCCACCCTCCCGCGCCCCAGCCCGCCATGGCCTGGGCCGGGGACAAAGAGCGGGGCAGCTTTTTGTCCAAACCGGGGTAAGAAGTTGAGGGCGGGGGTCTGCGGAGAGGGCCTCGGGCCCCGCGGGGCACAGGGATGCTAAGCCGCCGTCTCGGGCGAAGGAGATGGAAAAGAAACAAGGGAGAGTTGGGGTGGGAAGACCCCTAGCCCAAGCGGGGGCGGGGCGGGGCTGCGCTCCAGCCTGAGGCTGGCGGTCCCTCCAGGCAACCGGGCGGGGCGGGGGGAGCGCTCCGGGGCGGGGGCGGCGCCGGCTGTGGAAGAGAAAAGAAGGGGAGTGAAGGAAGGGGGGCGGGAGGGCGCGGGTGATGCGGCGCTGGAGGCGGCCCGGCGCCCAGCCGCTGACCGCCCCCTCCCCTTCCCTTCCCCCTCCTCTCCCGCCCCTCCGGCTCCCGGGCCGCCACGCTGGACCCGCTCTCCCGGCGCTGCGCTGGGTCGGACGCCAGGTCTGCGCGCCGCGGCTGAGCGCCCACTCGCCCTGCGGAAAGAGCCGAGCAGGGACCGGCGGAGGCGGCAGCAGGAGAGCGGGGCGGCCGCCGGAGGAGGCGGCGGTCGGGAGCCGCAGCAGCAGGAGACCTGCAGGCAGAAGCTCGGGGCTCCGAGGCGCGCGCTCTCCTGGCCAGGGATGGGTCCCAGCGCGGCCCGGCCCCCGACCGGCCCGCCAGGCAGAGACTGAATTGCGGGTCCCCAGAGTCCGGCGGACTACCGGACAAAAGGAAGCACGGACTGACTGCCAGGAGCTTCCCGGCGGGACCTCGCGTTCCGCGCACCCGGAGCAGCGCCCCCCGCCGGAGCCGCGCCTGGCGAGCCGGCGAGGGAGCTGGACTGATTGGCGGCCGCCGGCGGCCGGGGGAGGGGGCGCCGCGCGGGGCCATGGCAGGCTCGAAGGCGTCCTAGCCCGAGCCCGACCGGATCCGAGCCCGCGCCGCCGCCACAGCCGCCTCTCCGATCCCGGATCCCCGTCGCCGCCGCGCCCCCTGCGGGAGATGGACCAGAGGAACCGGCTCGGCGCTCCCGGATACCTGCCGCCGCTGCTGCTGCGCGCCCTGCTGCTCTTCGTGGCCGAGGGTGAGAGCGGGAACTTTGCTGCCGCTGGGGTCTCGGGGTTCCTCCCGGGGCCTCCAAAGCCAGCCTGTCCCGGCCGCCGCGGAGAAAGAGGCGGAGGAAGCGAAGGGGAAGGCTTCACGCTCTCCAGCGATCCTAATGTGCAGCCACGGCCCGGCGCGGTAGGGGGTGGAGAGCGGCGAAGGGTCGCGGCTTCAGTAACGCCCGAGCCCAGGTCCTTCGGAGCCGGACCTAGGCTCCAGCTGCGGCCAGGCGGCTCGTGGGGCGCCGGGAGTTGGCGCGCCCCAGTCTGGCGCTGGTAGCGCGGCCGGGCGCTGGGAAGAAGCGTGAGCCGCCCCCGTCGCCCCGCCCGGACTGGAGGGAAGCGGCCTGCAGCGGCAGCCGGTCTCTGCAGCGGCCCGGCAGCTGCTCGAGCTGACTTGGCCAGTGCCTGGGCCGCGCGAGCAGCTGGGGGGTGGGAAGAGCACGGCCCAGAGAGCCGGGGTGGCCCCGGGCCTCCGCCCCACAGCTAGTCACGCCTCTCTCTCCCCCGCCCCCAGCGACATTCACCGAAGTCCCCAAAGATGTGACCGTACGTGAGGGAGACGACATCGAAATGCCCTGCGCCTTCCGGGCCAGCGGAGCCACCTCGTACTCACTGGAGATTCAGTGGTGGTACCTCAAGGAGCCGCCCCGAGAGCTGCTGCACGAGCTAGCGCTCAGCGTGCCCGGCGCCCGGAGCAAGGTAACTGGCCACCCGCGCGGCGCCTGGGGTGACCGGGAAGAGGCAGGCAGGGCGCCGCCCCGTGGTGCAACCCATCTCCTCCCGTCCCCGTCTTCACAGCACCTTCAACAACAGCGGTTGTTACCCGCTAGGCATTCGCATTCCCTTCACGGAATCCTCCCCTGAACTCCATGCCTAGCCCTAGGAAGCTACCCTTCATCCAGTTTCCCGCTCTTGCCAGCTGCGGGTCCTGAGGGTGATGGGTTCCGGGTGTTGAAAAAAGACCGCTTGCTGGGGCCGGGCTTTCCCTGTCCTCTGCCACTCCGAGGTCCCCAGGGCACACGGCCAAGCAGCTAAGCTCCTCCGGGCTGGGTTCCAGAGGCTGGCGGAGCACGCTGTACAGGTTACCTCCAGCCGCTGCAGGGTCAGAGGGACTTCCCCCTCCGCCCGTCTGCCTCTTAAACAGTCTCTAGCGCTGTCTCTGTCCCTCACACACACACACACACACCTACCTTCGCTGCGCACACACTCACACACCACACACACACACTCACCTACCTTCGCTGCGCGCACACTCACACACACACACACACACACACACTCACCTACCTTCGCTGCCCGCACACTCACACACACACACCACACACACACACCGCCTACCTTCAATCTACCCAGAGTCCCACCCTTTGCTCACATCTCCCATCGGGTCCTGTCCATCCAGCTTTCCAAGGGGTTTAGGGAAACAACATAGGGAATGGGGATGCTCCTCCAGAGGGAAATGGGTCTTCCTTCCCACCCGGGAGGCGATCCAGCCTCCCTTCCTTGGCTGGCAGGGGTGCTCCGGCAGCCCCTCCTTGGCCAGGCGCCATGCTAGCTCCAAGCCCTGCTTCCTTCCGGATAAAACTCCTGAAAATCCCGCTGTTCTTCGTGCCCTCCGCCGTGGCTACATCCCGAGCGGTTTCGAGTCTCAGCCCGCCTGCGGAGGATCCTCTTGCAGGAGGTGCGTCTGAGTTCCCTGAGCCTAGAGGCCAACAGCCTAATGTCTCTCTCTCCCTCTTTGCATTTTAGGTAACAAATAAGGATGCGACTAAAATCAGCGTAAGTGTGGAGCCCAGCGCGGGCCGCGGGAGACCCCTTCCGGCCGCTTTGCGCCCCGCAGCCTCCTCCCTCTTAGAAAGGCTCCTTGGCGGTGCGGTATAGGTCCCAGCTCACACCCTGGCATTGTCGGCCGCTTGGCGTGTCCGTGCGCCATCTGTCGCCGGTCGTGGATCGGGTTCTCTTTTGCGTAAATCAAGGGTCCCAGGCCTGAATCTCCTTCCTCTTCCGTACGCTTGCCTGTAAAGCTCTCCTGCAGGCTCCTTGCCCTAGCTCCTGGCTCAGGGCTGTGGGCCCCACTCCCGCCCCGCACGCAGCCCACGCCCTGGCGGTGCCCTCCGTGGCAGCCCTCTCCTCCGCCTGGGTTGCGGGTCGCGGTGACGGGCGCTGTAGGCTGGCTTGGAGTTGCGGTGGAGAGGAGGAGTCTTGCCAGGGTTGGGGGGGACATGCGCCAAGCCTTCCCCGCTGGAGATGGAGGGATCACGGCCTGGGGATGACCAGGGCCTCCTGTGCCCGGTTCGGAGATGAGGATGCCCTGGGAGCTTGGTGAGGGCCACAAAGCGGTTGCTCCCCGGCGTCTCCGGCAGCTCGCAGGGAGCTGAGCTTTGTCCGCCGCTCCACGCTGCCGCCGAGAGGCAAGTTCCTAGGCAGCAGGCACTCAGTGGGTGTGGCAGCAGCCTCTGCGTCCGCTGCCTCCCAGCGAGGGCAGAGCGCTCGCTGAGAAGGGCTGGAGCTGGGAGCAGGTATCTGTGCACGATGAGGACAGAACGACTCTCCCTCGGACACCACCTCGGCCCTCGGGGCTCTAGAAGGAAGGAGCGTTAGTGGGAGCGGATGTGAAGGCCCCAGGGGCGAGGCGCCGGCCTGCCCGCCCCGGGCCCTGACCGAAGCCCCGCTCTCTTGCAGACCGTGCGCGTGCAGGGCAACGACATCTCGCACCGGCTGCGGCTGTCAGCCGTGCGGCGGCAGGACGAGGGCGTGTACGAGTGCCGCGTGTCGGACTACAGCGACGACGACACGCAGGAGCACACGGCCCAAGCGCTGCTGCGCGTGCTCACGCGCTTCTCGCCGCCCGACGTGCAGGCCGCGGAGGCCGTGTCCCACATTCAGAGCGGCGGCCCGCGCCGCCACGGCCCCGCCACTCGCCGGACGGGCCGCCCCGCTGCGGTCGGTCGCGGGCGCCGAGCCCGTCGGCGGGTCATCTGGGGGGAGCGTTCCCGGAACCCCGCCTCTGCTCTCCTCTCGCCGCTTTCCCGTCCTACTGTCGGCCGCTGGGGGTGTTCACTGCCCGCCTTGACGGTGAGCGCTGCCCGGGTACACGCGGCTGGAGGCGGGGAGCTCGCTCTCGAGTTTGGGGAACCGGATCTCTGGGGGGCTGCACCCCAACAGCGTCGGGCCTGCTTGTCTCCTAACGCCCAGGGTGGGCAGTAGCACCCAGTCTAGAGTGAGAGGAGGCGGTTACGGTTACAGGCCTTGTACACCGGGGTGCCACCTTGACTGGACCAACAGACACAGCTGGTCCACTGCGGGTGGACCTGGCTGCGTGCGCCCCGCCCTGCTTGGTAAGCTCCAGGCGGTCCTAGACACCGGCGCGACTATGATGGCCACTCCAGGCTCCTTGGGCCCTCATGGGGCCGGGGTGAGGATGGAGCCCTGCCATTGTTAGGAGGGCACCCGGAGGTTCGGTTCGGGGCTGCTCTCCCAGGGAGCTGAGAGGATCAGGGGAGGGGGAAGGGGGAAGGAGAGAAGGGGAGAAGGGAGTCAGAGCAGAGGGCAACGATGAGGGCCTGCCTGCAGGCCGGGAGCAGGAGGCCGGCTTAGCGGTGGTGGGCTTTTACCCAGGGCAGCGGGCCTCCTGCGCAGGGTGTCCATCCTCCAAGGCACCCCTCACTCCCCGCACCTACTCAAAGGTGGGACCTCAGAGAGAGCTCAGCTCCGGAGCTCACTCCCTGTGTCTGCCTTTAAGCTTGGCACTCCCTCTCAGTCTTGTCTGAGGCACAGTCTCAGAGAGAGCATCTCGATCAGCCTTGCAGCGCTGAGAGGCTGGGCTCCAGGACAGTCATAATAAAGCACCATAAGGTGGGGGAGCTGAAGCCCACTGCCCTACTCTCATGGTTCTTAAAGTGCAGACTACCTGCCCGCAGCATCAGCACTTTGTAAGGATGCAGACTCCTGGGCCCCCCCGCTGAATCCAAGGACACCAGCATTCTAGCCTCCCTCCCTGGCCGATCGTCTTAAGCCTTCAAACAGTTCAGACCCTGCCAGTTTGTCTTCCACACTAGTTCAGTTGTTTCTCACTGAGTCATCCTCCCTGTGGAAGCTTCTCCATGTGGCTCAGGCTTTTGGCTATATCTGGAGGCTTCATCCCTCTCAGGTTCCACACAGGTACCCACAAGACCTTCCCCCAGGCTAGGAGGGAAGGCCTGTCAGCTGGGAACTTGTGAAGGTCCTCTCCCCAAAGCTGTCCACCGGTCTTGGAGCTTACCCCATATCAGTTTAAGATAACATGACGTACTGTGCAGAACTCCAAAATGCCAGAGGCTTAACACAATTCGAATGTACCATTTCTGCTTTACATCACCGGGAGGAGCGGCTGAGGAAGGATGGCTCTGTTCCGTGAAGTCATTCAGAAATTCAGGCTGACAGAAACTCTACCATCTCTAAGAGGTGGCTTCCATGCTCACGCATCAACATCCAGCCCACAAACAAAAGGAAGAGGGAATGGAAGTAGCCTTTCTGAGCCCAGTTCCCTGAGCACACCAAGCCCCAGGGCTCCAAGGCTCATGTAGCACGTGATGAATTCTTCTTACGCATTTAGAATGGGTCTTGGTATCTGTCATTTTTGGAAGACAGAAAATAGTCACTCAGATAATTTTGGTAGAGTTCAGTTCTCTCAGAGAAAAGCTGACATGGAGAATGGCAATGGAAGCTTGTAAAGGCCATGCCTAGAAGTGGTCAGTATTACTACCACCCTCATCCATCAGCCGGAACTCAGTCTGATTGTTCAACATATGCAAGCAGGGTAGAAAATGAAGTCCTTGGCTTGACAGCTGTTCTGCAGTCTCATCTCTTCAGGGTGGGAGAGGAGCCTAAATCACGTGCCTAGCACCCTGGAAAAGGGTTATAGGGATACTGGGAAAGGGTTACCAGCCTAGTTACTGCTGGTTGGTGAAGAAAACTCCCTTCTGCCCCATCCCTTGGGCTCTAGCAAGTAAACGTGTGTCTTGGGCAGGAACATTCCTCTGGGATGTCCCATAGACTATAAGCAGAGCAGCGGAGCAGAGGATGTTGTGCGCCAGATATGAGTTATGTTTCCTTCTTTTACTGGCTGTGTGTCGTTAGGCACATGACTTACCCTCTCTGAAAGTATTTCTTTTAGAAATACTTGAGTAATCCCTGACCTCAGAGGGAGCTCAGCATAGAAACTGCTCTATAAAGTCCACTATTATCATCAAGGCCATTATATTCTCTGAGCGAGGAGGAGAGGGTGAGGGAGATGAAGTGAGTGGCTGGTGGTTGGAGGCCAGGCTGGGAAAGGTCTTGAATGCTGAGTGGAGTAACAGGAGCCATTGAAGGTTTCAGTAAAGGAAGCCCCGTGTGATAAGAGGCCATTCCTGCTCAATCTCCCTCCTCCCTGGGTAGAGCTTGACCCCTCAAGCCTCATCACAGCTGACCTGACTGTGCCCGGCATGGCTGGTCAGAGCTCCAGTCTCTGGGCCTGACTGCAGGGTAGCTCCAAATGACGCATAGCTCCAGCAGGGACCCAGCCACGGAAGTTGGCATGGACAGTGCCTTCTTTCTGGAAGTCCTCAGGTCAGCCCCGTTCTGATGGCACTTGCAGCCCAGGCGGGGGCTCCTCTGCCCTCCCTGGAGTGAGCAGCAAGACTACTTCCCCCCAGAAAGCAGAGTCAGCGGGGCTGCCAGCAGGGCTCACAGGGTGGCACGACCGGATGGGGTGTGCTGGCCCTAAGGCCTCTGTCACCCCAAAGCCACGGTTGGCTCCTGCACAGATCAGAAACCATGCAGACACATCGCAGAAAGAGCCCCAGGTTCCTCACCAGCTCCTGTGTGCAAGCCGAGGAAGGTGGGCCCTCAGCTGGAGGACCAAAAGGCCTGTGTCCTCTGTTGTCCAGATGAAGCTCCAGGGAGAATCACTGTGCTGCAGGCCCCTCTGTATCCCGCTCCGGGTGTAAAGAAGTCGGTCAGAGGACTTCTAGTCCACACATATACCTGAACAGCTTGATGCCAAGGGGGCACCCATACTGTCTTCAGTGTCCCAGCCTGCCTCACCACTGGAGGCTGCTGGGCCTGGGGGCTGTGGGTGGGATGAAGGAAGCAGGCTGGGTTCTGAGTCATGGGTACTAGTAGCCTTTCTGCAGGGCTGTGTTGTTGAGCAGCTCTTGGTCCTGCTGAGCCTCTCTGGGATGCAGCAGGCAGCCGATCACTCAGAGCTAGCAGCAGTGTGAGTCAGAGAGGGAGCTCACGGCGATGACTGCGGGCTTGCTCCCCACATCCACCACTCTCCTCACCCCACTCTCGGTTCTCGGCAGCTTAGAGGGAAAAGAATGAGAAAGGACTGTGGCCACTTGGTTACCAGGCAGGCGTGTCGCAGAGCGTAACAGAGAGGGTGCTAGTGGAGCAGATGGCACATTCGAGCAGAATCTTGGAGGAGAGGCAATGAGAGTATTTTTTAAAGGTGTGAACAAGGTTAGGACAGCGAAGGATGAGAACTGGCCCCCGGCTCAGAGCACTGGGAATCATTAGCACCTTTGACCGGGAAGGGGCAACTAGCAGAATCCAGAGAGGTCAGGTGGACTGAGAGACGGAAAGAGCTGAGGCCTTGGGAGAGGGATGTGGCTGACCCCCGGTGGCCTGGCAAGACCTCCCTCTTCTGCTGACCTCTCATCCCCTGTCAGGCTCTCCCAGGAACCAAACCCTCCTGGGAGCTGAGGACAAGGGCACCAGGTGATGCAGCCTGTACAGGCCAGCTTCTCGGGGCTCACAGCAGAGTGGGGAAAGGTGAAGGGTAGATCTGGAGCGACAGAATCAACAACCCAGCTCTCAAGGGAGGAAGATGCATTCTGCACCAGCCCCAACACCAGGACAAACCCAGAGCTGAGTTCCTAATTAAAGAGGTCATCTAATGCCTGAGCTGAATGGATACGCTGGCTATTTCAGATTGGCAACCTCAGAGATGGTCCCAGCCCAGCTCCCCAGTCACCTGTTAAGCAGTTGCTCCTGGGAGAAAATCAGAAGCCCCAGACAACACTGTGTCACTGTTTTTAAAGCGAGCCTCTTTGCTAATGCCAGCAAAGGGGTGGGGGGACTTACTCAAAGCTTGGTATTTCAGCTTTCTCACAGCAAGGCCAGAAAAGCCTTCCTGTGCCCTGTACATACCCAACAGAGCCAAATACATATTTGCACTAAAAGTTTATGTTCAAAAACTCATTCATTTCACGTCTCATTTGTCAAGAGACATTTTGATATTTGTACCTAAAAATAACATGGGCTGGATTAGCACAGCAGAGCCAGCACAGGAGATTGGGGTCCTTCTTAGCCATGTTCATAAATCTGACTCCTAATTAATTTGAACACTGACCTATTTTTCATGAACACTTTGCTGCTGGTTGCCATGTCTAGAAGAAAAAAAAAAGAGAAAACAAAACAGTATCTTCCAGACAAATCCTTCTACTGGAAAGTTGCCACAGTGAAGCCAAGTGTGGTCTCAACAGAATACAGTTTGCAACTGACTGGCTTGTATGTTGGCAAGTGGTTCCCCTTTGCAGGGACCTGGGGATCAGCTCCGTGGTGTGTGAACCTCTAATTAGCCTCCAGGCTCCAGTTCAGAGAAGAGCCACCCTGGCCCCTGCAGAGAGCCAGCTGGATGTGGCAAATTGCTGCCTGGTACCCACCCAGAGAACTGAGTCTCAATATTTCAATTAATAATGAGAGAAAGACAACCAAGGTCATAGGTGTGATGGCTTTAGAGAGATTGCTACCGCTGGGAGCCATCAAGGGGAGCATCCTTGGAAGTCACCATGGCAACTGTAAACCATGGCCCAAGAGGGCTGTGGACAAGGTGAAGGGACTTCCTCTCAGCCCGGGCCCCTGGGGGACAACAAAGCCAGCAGCAATGCCAGTGTGACCAGAGAGAGTCTCCGCGCGCTGGGGGGCTTCCAGCTGGGCTGGCAGAGGCAGGCAGCAGTCAGCTGGTCTGCCTCCTCCGCTGACCCACGAGGACCTGACAACCATCACCTTAAATAAATAGCCCGCTCTTCCCTCAAGCTCTGATGTGACACAAGGGTCGTAATTAAAGAGAAAGTAAATCTGGCAGAGGTTGTCCCAGAGAGGAGGAGGTGAAACTGAGCATCCTGCAAGAGAACATGAAGGGACTTGATAAAGTAAATGGCTGAGCCTCACTGCTGGCAGGA